AAATTTTTTATGGGATAATCTTTTAAAATTTCTTTTAATGTTTTAAAATTTCAAGTATTTTGACAATTTGAACACCCCCTCCCTTCCTCTTTCCAAGCTTGGTCGCTGAGGAGAAACGTCAGCCTCTCCCTTGCCTTCCCACCTTTGTCCCAGAGAGGTGAGGCCTGTGACACATCTGAGAGAGAGAGAGACAACACAGAACTGGGTGAATCTGCAGAGGCTGTGGCGGGGCAGAGCTGAGAAACATGTGTATCACTAGGGTGAAGGAAAAACGGAATTTGGTTGTGGAGTTTTCCCTCCCACTTCCCCCCCTCTGTGTGTGTGTGTGGTGTGTGTGTGTGTGTGTGTGGTGTGTGTGGTGTGTGTGTGTGTGTGTGTGTGTGTGTGTGTGTGTGTCCCTCTAAAAGATTGAACCCAGGCCCTCACACATGCTAGGAAAATGCCCATTTGTTTTTTTTTAATATTTATTTATTTATTTATTTATTTATTATGTGTACAATGTTCAGCACCAAATCTCATTACAGATGGTTGTGAGCCACCATGTAGGTACTGGGAATCAAACCCAGGTCCTCTGCAACAGCAGCCAGTGTCCTTAACCACTGAGCCATCTTTCCAGCCCTCTGTTTCTGTTTCTGGGGGGCAGGGTCTTGCTCTGAAGCCCATGATGCTCTCCAACTTGTGATTCTTCTTCCTCAACCTCCAGAGTTCTGGGATTGCTGCTCTGTGCTACCATGAAAGCTAAAATGTGATAAGTTCTGGGAGTACACACTAGCTCCAGGGTTATAGGAAAAACTGAAATAGTCTGAACTGGGCTTAAAGCAGTAAGATGTGATGATGTACATGTTAACCCCAGCATTGAGGAGGTGGATATGGAGTACAAGGAGGTCAAGACCAACTTGGGCTACATAGCAATTCCAGAGCTAGGCTGAGCTACATGAGACCCTATCTCAAAAGAACAAACACAATATGTCCAGTTGCCCTGGATAAATGTACATAAAGTACAATAAAGGCCAGGAGTGGTGACACAGATTTGCACTCTCAGATCTTAGCTGGCTGAGACAGGATGATCAGGAGCTTAAAGCCAGCCTGGCCTACATGGCAAGACCGTGTCTTAGACAAAACAAAAACTACACTAAGGGTCCAAAAGATATTAGACTAGAGGTATGTCGAGAGTGGGATTCATGAGCCATTGTGTCTTCTCAGTGACAGTAGCTGGGGGGAGGGGTGTGCTCAAAGAGTATGTTTTCAAGGCCATATTTTCTCTCTTGCAGACAGCATGGCTCTGCTCTTCCTGCTGGGGTGCGCCTTCTTCCCACTGTGCTTTGCTGGCCTCTGTTGGGGGCTGCAGAACCAAACCAACTTGCAGATGGAGAGGCAAGAGGCTGTTTTGGTGGCATCAAAGTAAGATGGGAAGGTGGGCTATCTTTCCTGGGGACAGAGCTGGTGGACCTGATGAAGCATCCTCAAGAGCTGATGGAGTGGACTCAGGGGAGGGTGCAGGGTTAATGTGGATGGGCTGGGCTCATGGAATCTTTTGCAAGTCACTGCCTCTCTGAGGTTCAGGTCCCTCATTTGGAAATGGGTTTCATAATAATGACAATTTCTTTTTCCACGGAGACATATGTGGGTGATGTGAATGCATGTCTAAGGGCTATGGGCTCTGAGGAGGTACAGGGCTAGGACTCACAGGACACCCAGGACAGGGAGCAGAAGTGGTCTGGCTCCAGCAAGAGCTGAATGTGAGCCAAAGCCAGGGCCTGCGTGAGCCAGGCAGGTGCTCTACCACCCAACTGCATATTTTCCCCTTGAGATGTAGCTTTACTTTGTAGTCCAACCCAGACTCAGACCAGGGATTTTCCTGCCTCAGTCTCCCAAGTGCTAGCAACTGAGCGATTATGTGAAATCAGCTAATAGGTGTGTTTTTTTTTTAAGAGTTGTTTACATTTAGTCAGAGGGGATGCACATGCCATGGCTCATATGGGAGGTCAGAGGACAACTTGCAGTTGGTTCTCCCCTTCCTCCATGTGGGTCTCAGGGATTGAATTTAGTCATCAGGCTTGGCAGCAAGCACCTTTACTTGCTGGGCTGTCTCACTGGACCAAAATGAGTTGCTCTTAAACTGACAACTCAGACTACAACTTTAGGAGAAACTATCTTCTGTTGGCAGCACTGTACTGGGCAAACATGTTGGTGGGATGGTTGGGGTGCTCAGGCTGTTAATATATGAGCAATGCCAGGGCATAGCTAGGACAGGAGGTGTGCAGAAAGCAATGTCTGGGTTTTTTTTTCTTCTCTTCTTTTTACTGCTGAGTATGGAGCCCAGAGCCTCTGAAATGCTAGACAACCACTGGGCTGTGTCTCCAGTCCCCAGTGGCAGAATTTACCATGGTGTCTGTATAAATTCCTAGAGGACAGAACAAAGCAAAAGCACAAACCCCAAAGCCCCCTGTCTCACCCCTGTTTTGATACCAGGTCATCACCCCAATGTAGTGCCTTTTGCGCTTTTGTTCATTTTTGTTTTGTGTATGTTGGTTGTTTCGTGTGTGGGTGTGTGTGTGTGTGTGTGTGTGTGTGTGTGTGTGTGTGTGTGTGTGTTGAGGTAGGGTCTCACCTGTAGCCCAGGCTACCTTTTAACTTTTTCCAGGTTTGTTGTTTATTCTGTTACTTTTGTGTTACTCTTGGTGAGCCTCCTGCTTCAGCCTTCTAAGTATTGGGATTACAGGTCAGTCCCTCTATATTAGTAGCTCAGGCTAGGGTGGGTCCATCTCTCTCCTGACAAGATCTCCCTATGTAGCCCTGGCTACCCTGGGGCTCCCAGGAATCTGCCTGCCTCTGCCTCCTGGGCATCACTGTCTTTGGTTCCTCTTGGGGTGAAGCAAACATCCGGAGGAAATCCCACTTTACTAATGCACATAGAGCTATGTTATCTTGGCAAGTTCTGTTTTTTTCAGTTCTAAGCTTTGTTTTCTTCTTCCCCAACCCTAGAAGATCAAAGACACATCAATATAAATCTCCTTGTTTTGTGCACAGAATGTATTAAGACTCAGGGTGGGGGTGGGGGGCTTTCTCTTAGCTCTCCAGGTCTACAGTGGTTTCCAACACTGACTCCAACGCCTGTCTGTGCCGTCCCTCAGCCATCACCACAAACTGTCACTAGAGGGCAGCACAAAATAGCAAATCAGCCCCTTCCTCTAGGGAGCATAGGGAGTAGGCTGTGGGCTGTAAAGGTCAGTTGTCAGGAGATTTTTTTTTTTTGAGGCTTATCTCATGGCCAGCCAGAAACCCAAACTACAGTGTTAGGATGTCAGGCTATACACGTATGAAGGACAGTTGGGTTTGGGAAAGGTGAGGGCTCCAAGAAGACCATGTGAGAGTGAGAAGCAGCTGTGGCCTAGGCTTACGCAACCCTGGTCAAAGCCTTGGATTAAATAAGGGGGTTGGATCAAGCAACCCCAGGCTCTTCCTCACTCATAAGCAAGACTGTTCTGAGGGGTGGCAGAGGAAAGGGAGCCAAGGCAATAGGAGAAGGGAATCAAGGAGGCCATGAAGCCCGAGGAAGGGGGCCAGTTTCCATGGAACCACATGGGTTTTCAAGTCAGTACCTTTCTTCAGATTCACTCACCTTCCCTTCTCCCCGAGGCTGGCACTTCCTCTGTAGCCCAAGCTGGCTTCCATGTATGATCCTCTGCTTCCACCTCCTGAGTGCCATGCTGCCAGGACCACACAATGAGCCACTACGCCTTTACCCCAGTACTAGTGATCAAGCCAGTCCTGGCAAGGGGTCTGATAGTGAGCTTTCTTCCCTCTTAGCCATGTTTCTATCCTTTCTTAACTTTCTGATCCTGGGGATATTGGCTCATACCTGAGGACCATCTCCTGACCTCTAGAAAGTGGACGAGCATAGATGCCCGGCGCTGTCACAGCAGTGAGGCAAGGACACAAGGCAGAGTGAGGTGGAGTGCATGGGAGGTGCCTGGTGCGTGTTAGTTTCCACTCCTGACTGGTAAGGGGGGGTGCCTCTGGGTCTGAAGGACACTGTGAGATGGTTTTGTTCCCATCCATGCCTTCAGTGTTCCCTTCAGGGAAAGCAAGAGGAACCACCTACTCAGGATGCCTTCCCCAGGGAATCTTCTCAGCTGGAGTGGGCACCCCTTAGCTGAGATCCCTGCAGGCCCCTGAGGGGCACCCATCAATGTTTATGAGCACTGGCAGAAGGAAGTGCCAGGCATTTTCAAAGTACTGATGGGAGAGGGGGCTCAGTACCCCTGCCAGCTGAAGGAACCCAGGGCTACCTTCTTTCCCAAGAGAAGAGCCATCCCTCCCCTAGCCCTTGTCCCCGGCAGCCCCCTGCGCTGCAGCTGCTGTCTCTTTAAGGGCCTCCCCCTCCCTCTTTCCCTGTCCCCCCCCATCTCTGTCGCAGGCTCTGCTGTGGCTCAGAGCTGCATGGGAGACAAAGCTGCTGCAGGTCCGGTTTCTTGGTGTCTGGTCGGTGCCATCATTTCCCTCCCCCTCTCCCACCCTTCCCAACCCAGTGGCTTCCCCTCCCCCTCCCCCTCCTCACAGAGGGGGCAGGGGGCTGGGCACCAACTCTATAATGCCATGTGCAGTGTCTGCACAGGGCATCGGGGCTGTGGCAGCAGCAAGAGGAGGTGGTGGTGGCCTGTGGTGGCGGGAGAGCAGTATTGACTGGTGACCACTTGCCCAGCTGCTCCTCGGCTCCCCTCCTCCTGTCCCCTCTCCCTGGTCCTCTCACCAAGTCCTCCCTTGGTCATCTCTTCCCGTCCCTCTCACCGGCATCCTTTCTACTCTACCCCCTTTCTACTCTGCCTAGCTAGCTTTCTCTCTGTGTCCCCAGTCTCATTGAAGTCCCTTTCTCCCTTGCCCTGGACTGGCCCCCTTGTCCCATCCTGTCCCCGCCCTGGCCCCTTTGTGCCTCCTCTTCCCTCTTTCTCTCTCCTTCTCTGGCTTGGCATCCCTTCTCCACCTCTAACTCCCTCAGTTTGGCCTTCTTGTCCTTTCTGGCCCCTGCGTTCTCCCTGCCTGGGTCCAAGTCACCATGCTTACCCCAATGGTGGCTGGGGGGGTGGTGTTCCCCGGACTCTTCCTCCTATCCAAGAACACGCTCCAGAGGCTGCCCCAGCTGCGCTGGGAGGAGGCCGACGCAGTCATTGTCTCCGCCAGGTAAATGGCATGCCTTCCCTGAGTTCAACCCCTCTCTTTCCCAACAGGCTTCGTGGGAAAGGGACCCCAGTATCTCCCTGGGCTCTGTAGCAGTGGGGAGGTTTACATGCAAGCTTCCTTCCCTCCTGGACCTCACCTTCCCTGGAGACCTCATTGAAACCCAGCCATCTGGTCTACTATTCAGCTTGATCTTCTTGCTTCCCCTTGTCACCTTCCCACCCTCTAAAGCAGGCCACCGTGTGACTAAACAGCCCCACAAGATACCAGGGAGCAAGTCAAGGGGCAAGACAGTGTTTTTCAGGGCTTGTGTTTGTGGGTCAATGTACAGAGAAGTAGATGGTGAAACTTGTACATCACTAAAATAGGACCATCAGGAAGAGGACCAAGGAAATAGTGGGAGAGTGGCAGGGGAGCTTGGGGTCACTGTGGGGCCAGCTACTGTAGGTATGAGCAGCATAGTGACTGGGAAGCCAAGTGGTGAAGAAGCAACCAGGGACTGCTTTGGCCCTCATGGGTCCCTTGCCTCCCTTCCCAGGGAGAGACCTCGCTGTCAGCCATTCCCAGCACTGGCTCACCCCAGAATGATCTCCCTGGTGTCCTGGGAAAAAGGAGACTCAACTGTCACAAACTAGGAATGAAGAAGGCTGGGAGAGGCGGGAACCGAGAGATCACAGCTAAGCATGGCTTGGCTTAGAAGCAGCTGATGAGGATTGGCCCTGAGCAGTACAGGATTCAAAGCACAGTGGTTGTCATAGTAAGAAGAGACATGGAGGCATACACCTTATGTTCACTCCTTCCTCTGTCTCCCTAGGCTGGTGTCCTCTGTCCAAGCCATCATGGCCTCCACAGCTGGCTACATAGTCTCCACTTCCTGCAAGCACATCATTGACGACCAGTAAGTGCCTCATGACAATCTCTGCCCAGGCCCCAGAAGTGGATGTGTGTGACCCAGGATCCCCCAGATCTGTAGTGTTCCCTGAACTTGGGCCCAAGCAAGTTCATGTGGTTACCACAACTCAATACCAGGGATACATTTATCCCACCCTGTCCTAAAGGTCAGAAGCAAGGAAGCAGGGGTAGGCATCAAAGAAACTCCTCAAAGCAGTTCCCTGTCACCTTTCTGGCCTCTGGTCATCGGTTGTGAATGTCAACCATCTCCTGAATCCCTCAGACCCTGTTTCCATCAGCACCTTACTGAGTACCTGCTTACCATGCCAGGCTCACCTCACAACTCCTTCTGGAAGCCAGGTGTCTAGCTTCAGCTCTTTGTCCAGGGAGAAAAGAAAGAGATGACACAAACAAGGCCACTAAGGGTCAGGCAGTGGGGGTTGGGGGTAAAGCGGCCAAAATTTGGCACTGGCAGCTACTGCAGTGTTTGGTGCTTGCCAAAAAAGGCCCAGGCCTGAGAGGTGGGGCAGGAGGAGGATGAAGGGGAAAACACTGGCCCTGTCCGTGGTGCTGATCAGCCCAGTTTTTAGCTGGCCGTGTGCTGTTGCCAAGTGTGCTGTGTGCTCAGGGCATCCTTCACTCATAGATGCTGGCTCTACTGCCCTTCTGTGGTGTCCTTTGAGCCTCAGGGGACATTGTCTGGGTGACCCTGGTCTCCATCTGCCTTCTAGTGTCTATTTGTCTCTTCTTTTCCTGTGAGTGAGTTCTCTCCTCCTAGGACCTAGAGCGAGGTCACATCCTCCCCAGAAGAGCTTCTGCATGGAGGAACTGAGTGCGTTAAGTGCCTAGAACAGTCCTTGGCTCAGGGGTTTAGTTCTTAGGATCCTTTTCCATGACTTGACTCCCCCTTGCCCTCTCCCAACCCCTTTCCCAGCCAGAGAGCCCAAAAGGAGCCTGTGTGCCAGGCCTTTCCTTCTCACCTATTCTTACCTAGAGGCCACCTTTTGGTTCTTGCATTCCCACCCCTTAGTCCGGTCTTGACCCTGTTTCCCCTTTAATCCTCAGGTAGGTGGGAGGTCAGGGCTAATCCGGGGGCAACAGCTGTTCTTGCTTCTGAGCACCTAATTGCTGACAGAGTGGAGATGGAATCTGACACCTCACTTAACCCAGGGACCTGAGCCCCTCTAGTTCCCCTACAGTCCAGAGTCTTATGGGTACCATTCCTCCACCACTTCCGAGGCAGGCTCTGAGGATGGTTGGGTCCTGTCTGCATTTCTGCTCTCTATCTCTAGCTAGTGCCTCTCCCCTATTCCTCCCTCTTTGACTCCAGGCCACATTCCCCTATACTGTTGCAGTATGGGTCCCTTTGAGAGTGGGCTGCTTCACCCCTTCCAGGCCAGCCAGCCTGGGTAAGCTGGTGTTGTGTTGGTACTCACCCCATCCGCAGATGGCCTGTACCCCTAGTTCCTCCTCCTCCCCTCACCAGCATCCACACTTGGTATATGGTGGCTAGCTGGGTTGGGTTTTGCTTTGCTGCCTCTGGGCCTTTCTATCCCCCACCCCCACCCAAGGCCTGCTGAGGACTCCTGGACTTGAGAAAGCCTCTGTGCTGACTCAAGAGAAAAAGCGCAGCATTGCGTATTCTTGTGCTTCCCGTATTTGTTTACTCCAAAGTCTGTAGAACTTTCTCTGTTCTTGGCATCTTTGCTCAGCATTCTCTCTTTATTGCTGGCTGCACCTGAACTAACAATAGACGCACCACCTCAGCGCAAAGGCGAGCTGCAGTGACATCCCCTCTGCTCCGCTAGGGCCTTCTTGAGACAGTGGGGCTGATGGCAAGGACTTCTGTGGTTATTCCTTGGCCGCATTACTTAGCCTCTCTATGACATAGGGTTTCATGGGAAGTGAACAAGTTGCTGCTGTGTAAAGATTTAAGAACCAGTGTAGTGCCTGGCATGTGATCAGCTGTCCCGTCTGCTGGTGCTGGGCCCACAGGATCTCTACAGTGCTTGGAAGCTCTTCACTGTGCCTAACTGGGGGTTTCTTTGTACCTCTCCACAGCTTGTTTCCATCATTGCTCACAATCTGCAGAGTTCTGGTCTCCTCTCTCTACAATACTGCGGAGGCAGGGGTGAATGCAGGGGTGGATGGAGGGGTGGGTGCAGAGGTGAGAGGTAGAGACACTTGGGAGAAAGAGGGAGAGATGTGGTAGGTTGTGAGGTCTGCCTGGCTTGAATCCAGCCCCAAATCTCAGAAGCTGTGAGACAGCCTGGCCTTGAGTGGTTCCTCACACACCACCCTTCAATTCCGGCATCTGAAACTCAAGACTCCAGATTGTTATAAGAGCCCCCTTGGGACCTAACTCGCTCCCATCCTGTCACGGGGCTGCTCCTGCAGCCTGGACCTACAACCTGTCTACCTCCCCCTTCTCTCTTCCCTCCCCACAGGCACTGGCTGTCCTCAGCCTACACACAGTTTGCGGTTCCCTACTTCATCTACGACATCTATGCCATGTTCCTCTGCCACTGGCACAAGCACCAGGTTAAAGGGCACGGAGGGGAAGACGGGACGCCCAGAGCCCTGGGCAGCACCTGGGCCGTGGTGCGTGGCTACCTGCACAAGGAGTTCCTTATGGTGCTCCACCATGCGGCCATGGTGCTGGTGTGCTTCCCACTCTCGGTGGTGAGTCCTCCCTCCTGGAGTCAGGAGGGCTAGGGGTAGGTGTGAAAAGTGGCTCCTCCCCAGCATGCCAGCACTGCAATATGGAGGTCCCAGGGAGTGGGACTTGGAGTGGGTTTCCTGAGCAGTGTTCTACCCAGAGTCTCAAGAGGTACAAGTCAGTCTGGGGTGTGTCAGAGCACTGGCTATGTGTTTGTGGCTGTCCTCACCCGGTGGCATGAGGCATACTTTCTTAATCTGCATGGTTATAAAAGAGGCAGTAGTGTACTGAGTATGCAGACCCCAGGCTAAGTGTCTCTCTGGGTAGAGGATGTAGCTTAGCTCAGCTGGTAGAGTGTTTCCCTAACATGTGTGAAGCCCTGGTTTTAACCCCCAGCACTCTGTAAGGCCAGGATGATAGTACATTTGTAATCCTAGCGCTTGAGAGTGGAAGCAAGGAGATACGAAGTTTAAAGTTAACCTCTGTTACACAGTGAGTTTGAAACCAGTCTGGGGTACATGAGACTATTGACTTCAAACAAACAAACAAACAAACAAAAAAACAGGTGCACACCTTAAATCCCAGCACTCGGGAGGCAGAGACAGGTGGATCTCTGAGTTCAAGGCCAGCCTGGTCTACAGAGTGAGTTCCAGGATGGGCTCCAAAGCTACACAGAGAAACCCTGTCTCAAAAAAAACCAAGAAAAAAAAAAAGAAAATGTTTTGGGAGTTTGGGAATAGGGTTGATGAGATGGCTCGATTGATACAGTGATTGCTATGCATGCACAAGGGCTGGGTCTTCTGGAAAAGCTGGGCTGGGTGGTGTGTGCTTAATCCCCACTCTAGGGAAGTGAAAGGAGGAAGATCACTGGGGCTTGCTGGCCAGTGCAGCCGAATGAGAGACCCTGCCTCAAAACAATAAGATGGCCAGACAGTGGTGGTGCACACATCTTTATCACACACACACACACACACACACACACACACACACACACACTCAGGAGGTAGGAAAGCCTGGTTTACAGAGTGAGTACCAGGAAAGCCTGGTCTACAAAGCTACATAGAGAAACCCTGTCTTGAAAAACACAAACAAACAAACAAAACCCCAAAATAATAAGATTGAAAGCAATTAAGGAAATTGATCCTGGCCTTTACATGCATATACCACACACGTGCATACACACAAGAACACACACACACACACACACACACACACACACACACAGGGGTGGGGTGGGGGTGGAGCTTAGCATCTCTGAAACTGATAAGAGTGAGGTGAAGGAAGACACAGCTCCTTAGACTCTTGCCTTTTCCCTCAGGTGTGGCGACAGGGCAAGGGAGATTTCTTTCTAGGCTGCATGTTGATGGCCGAGGTCAGCACACCCTTCGTCTGCCTGGGCAAGATCCTCATCCAGGTGAGAATGATCAGAGGGCCTAAAGGCATGTGGGGTGGGCATGTCTGGGGAATTTGGGGAATTCTTAAAGGCCATGCAACCTTTCAGCATAGGGGTATGTGCCTACAACACTGGCACTGGGAAGGCTGAGGCAGGAAGATCATGAATTTGAGACCAGCCTGGGTAATTGTGGGAGTCTATCTCAAAAGACAAGAATAAAGCTGGGCAGTGGTGGTGCATGCCTTTAATCCCCACACTTGGGAGACAGAAGCAGGTGTATCTTTCGCTGTGAGTTCGATGCCAGCCTGGTCTACAACATGAGTTTCAGGACAGTCAGGACTGTTTACACAGAGAAACCTGTCTCAAAAACAAACCAAAGAATGAAAGAAAGAAAGAAAGAAAGAAAGAAAGAAAGAAAGAAAGAAAGAAAAGGAAGGAAGGAAGGAAGGAAGGAAGGAAGGAAGGAAGGAAGGAAGGAAG